AGACACAAGTGTACTCTCTATTCCTGTCACTCTCATACTCCGGTGGGACGACTGCTCGACACGACCAGTGAGAGTTAAGGCGCAGGACCGACGGCTTTACGTGCTCTTCGTGGCACGGGGGTGAAACACCGCCTACTTCCCAACTCCGGAATGTTACTATACAGAAAGACTCAATAACTAAACTTGGCCCAACCCGGGACTTGAAACCAGTACCTACGGGTATGCAGCCGTACATGCTAGCTACTACACCACCGAGGCAGTTAATGTTATGTATAACATACATTTAAAAAAATATATATGTCCCATCACCAAACTAATAAAGAAAGTAACTCAGTCTGTTACGTTTTCACGCCTAATCCGCTGAACCAATTTTGAAGAATTTTAGTATAGACATAGGACCTTGGAAAAGGACCTACTATTTTTGTGGCGAAAATGAAACTTGATGGGGGTGAATAGGGATTGTAAGTATATATGAGGAACTATACCAACAACTTCAAGTACATTCACCATAATTATTTTGTTTTTACATAAAATATGTCATACGCACTCGAGCAAAGTGAGGGTAAATCACTACTCTGATTATAATAAAGGGAATTCGTCTATTGATGCCTTTTTGGTTAATAACAGTATTGTAATAAAATAATATTAGGTTGACTTCATTAGAATAAAATAATAATGCGAAATATAAACGGTCAAACGGATACAATAAAAGCACTAAAACGTTTTGCGAAATCCCCACAAAGAATAAAATAGGCGTCGGCTCATCCAAAGTTCGCCATTTTCGAAACCCTTAGAATTTGCTTAAAAGACCGTGTCAATTTTGGTGATTTTCAAGTAACTTAATCCCAAATGGGCTTCGACTAAGCAATTTAGTTAAGCCTGTGAAAAGAAAAAGGTATATAAGATATTTTAAAATATTTAGGATTTTACAAAAAAATATATTTTAAAAATGAAAAAATACGACAAAAGGTATAATGTGTAATGTACCGGCATCATTTTGCCGGTAATCAATTCGATTACCGTGCGAAGTAAATATATATGTACATGCATTGTACATATATCATCGGCCTATCGTCGTCCATTGTTGAACATAACCAACGAGCGCAAAAGATTCCTGACTTGGGCAGACAGTATCCATCTGCCACTTTTCTTAAGTCGTCGGTCCATATGACTTATGGGATTTTCTAGTATTTTCGAGTCCACAAATTCAAGGTTGCTCAGTGAGTAATGGAACACGTAATGCTGGGTGTTTCTCTGATGATAGAATTCGAAATAAAGTCATTAGCCAGACTAACCGATACTACCTAAAAATTAGCATACTAAAGTGGAAATGGACCGGCCATATTTTCAGGTAGACAGACGGTCGATAAAGCCATTTTTTTTAATTGATAATTGAAAAGTATCACGTATATATCACGTGGTCATAATATATTATTCTTATATATTATTTGGTTGTCTATTAGCGATATCGATTGAATAAGGTTCAATTCTGATAACTTGTCTATCTTTAATATTTCTTAGTCGATACTACCGGTAGGCATTTGACATAATTTGTATGGAGTTAATGTCAAACTTCTATTTCTAATAAGAAAAAAACATATAAATAGATTATTGGCTTCTGCTGTAGATAAGAGATGGACCAGCAAATTCTATAGCATCTCACTATCGTAAATCACCATAATAGCAAGAGTTTTACAGTCCTCTGCCCAATATTAAGCACACAGTCGTATGAAAAGTGACTGATCTATCTATATTATAATATTATAAAGAGAAGATAAATATTTTTTTTATATCTGTATGTTTGTTTGGAAAGGACATAGGATAGATTTTAGCCTGGAAATCTTGACTTGAGGGGTTGAAAAAGGGGATGAAAGTTTGTACGGGGAATCAATCATTTCTCAAGTAAATAATGAAGTGTCACTTTCACTGTTACATTTGCAAAGACAATAGTGTAAAGTACTAAATTATCTTAAATATTTAATTTAATTTTTTTTTTGTTTGTAATGTTTAACATTTTACAAATAACAATCAATCTGTCGATTCAATTGCAAATAAAACTCTACATGATTATTTACATTTATATGTGCTTATTTATATCTTCATATAAAAATAAAGAAAAAATTATATTAAAAAAAAATTATAATAAGTAATTATAAATGATTTTTTTTTGGAAAAAAAGGCATATCATAAATACACACACTACACATACTTATCTACAATAAAGTAATAAATAAATAAATAGAATAAAAATGAACGTATAGGTACTTAAAAATAACAGCACTTATGTAGTTTGAACTTAATATAATATAATTTTTTTTGGATAAATTGTATTTTTTTTTTCATAACTATAAATAAAATTATAAAATCTTTAGCCTTTTGGCTACGAAACCCTAAAATACAACATAATATTTGACGTATTCAATTATCATAAATGATTTTGTTGTGAATATATAAATATCATACAAGTCTATACAAAATTGGCCGTACATATCTATAATATAATATAAAATTATAAATGCGAAAATTTGAGAGGATGTATAAATGTCTGGGTGTACAGATGTATGGATGTTTGTTACTCTTTCACACAAAAACTACTGAATTGATTTTAATGTAACATTACAATAATATTGCTTATACATCAGAATAACACATAGGCTTTTGTCCCGGAAAAATGTACGGTTCCCGTGGAATAGATTTGTTTTTGTTTTATCAGAGACGAATCCGAGCGAAGCGAGGGTCAGCCGCTAGTTTAATATATATTTTCTTAAATAATATAAAATGATATCATTTTGTTAAAAGAAAAATATATTTACCACATTCAAAATGGATGTTTGAACGCGGACGAAGCCGCGAGTACTGCTAGTTGGCTTAAAACAGTAATTGTTGTGTTCTTCTCTGCAGAATTGCTTTCTAAACCAGATTGCTGATTACACTGACAACATGCTTTTAGTTAGTTATAAACATTAATAAACATATTATTATTAATTATTATTAAAAATTCCTTTGACTGGCACAAGAATCGAACTTACGAATGTAACTACCAAGAAAACCCAAATCTTTTAAAAAAATGTGTTTCAATGTAGCTTTTCTCGTCTGAGTTTATCATGTGCATACTAAAATTTTCTGCATTAGCGTAATTACGTCAGGGACCTGCCTATGACATAATTTTATATTCTCATCATGCTTTAATGGCACGAGGAAATGATGGCACATTTCCGTCATCAAAATAACCTTAGTTTTGGGAAATCTGTACAAAATTAGTTTTGGATTTATAATATAGTAAAAGTTAAAGAATATTTAGATGGACATTTTATATAGTATTTATTTTATATGCCCATATATCGCTGTTGGAGCTATAGAAAGTGAATCATGGTGTAGGTGTCGATTTTGATAATGATTTGTAATTTTAGTCAACAATCGAGTCTATTTGATTCTTTTTTTTGTCTGACTGAAGAAAACACCTCTAATTTTGCATATTGGTTATTATTGAAAATTTTCAAGTACTTCAATAATGATTTAAAAGTTGATTATTCTTCGACAAATACCTTAGCGAAAAACACAAATCTTTTCCCTTCCAGATTGAACCAGGTACCTCCTTCAGCTTAGAGTCAGATGTAGTTATTAGTGTAGTAACGTTTCTACATTAAGTAGTATATACATACATTTATAAATAAAATTAAAATTATGTCTGAAGATAACGCACTCGTACATAGAATCTATCATTAATATATTTGAAAGATAAGTTAATTGAATTGTATAGACTTCAATTCAATACAATTTTCTACTTAATGGCTTCAAAGCGTGCCAGTGGAGCACAGATTACTTCGCCAATATCACGTAGGATGGAGAAGGTAGGAAGGAGATTGGTCAGTAAAATACGATTATTAATTGTATAGGCTTGTACATTCTTCTGAACAATATTAAATGACTTATCGTTTCATAAACAAAATCAACTATAGTCTGTAAGTGAAAGGTCAAAATGCAATATAATAGAGTGTAATTTGCTTTTATTTTGGCAAATTGTAGTCACTAAAAATGAAAATGAATTTAAAAGCTATAATTAAAAATAATACTAAAAATATTTATAAATCGACCTTTTTTACTTTGTACAAATATAGTTAAATACGAACTAAAGTATAATTATAATCTAAATTCATGTTTTTGTGGACAATAATGGCAGTGAATTATGATGAAAAAAGTAATTCTTATTCTATATAATTCATCGCTAAATAAATGCAATGTAGAAACGAGCTTCATATATAATAAATTACACAATTTTGTTCAAATTCTCTAACTTAGTGTAAAAACATATACATTTACCAATTATTAAATATAGAGTGGTTCATTGAAATAGAAGTCTTAAATTATTGCAGAAGCAGATATTGCAAACTTAATAGTGAAAATTGCTTACAATCGAAGATATTAAATGCTATTTAGATGTTTAGATAAATAATAATTGGCAATTAATAAAATTTAATATAGAAGGAGGCCCGTGTCCAGCTGTGGGACGGTAAAAAGGGGAACATTTTGGAAGCTTTGCATAGAAAAACTATGAATTTAATTTAAAAAAATATATACAGCTGTTTTAACTGTATGGAATTGTAGTCGAAGAAATATGTTAATTATATCTTATCTCGCTCATTTCATCTTTCACAATGAGGTAAAAGCCATATATTATTAGATACTTTTTAAAATAAGTGATGAAGATATTTAAAGATGCTACTTACAAAACCCATAAATAAAAATACTTAAGTTCTTAACTTGGTTCACGTCACTATTAAAAAAAAATTGAACAAGTCTATGCAATAATGTAACAAGTATATACACGTGAGTTTCACTAATAATGATTTAGTTTAATATACAATTTTTCAAATTAATGACTGAATGTTTGATGAAAAAAAATGCATTATTATAGTCTAAATTAAAATTAATTTTTAAGGTAAGATAAATGAGTTTTATTGGCATATTATTGCATAAAACCGTTTTTCTAAGATGTACTAGCAGCCCATAAGGGTTACGATGACACTGAGGAGTGCTGCAGATAGCGGATATTGAAGCCGAAGTTGACCACCGTGTTGCATGGCTGCTGGGTGTTCTCCTGTTGGGATGAAAAGTAAAAATTAAATTGTTAGATTTATACAAGTATTTGACATTTTAAAATAAATCGACTTCTTCTCATTCTTTATGATTTAATTTTGTTGGTGAACAGAATTTCAAAGAGCTTAAAGCTGATAAAACCTAGTTTCATATTAATTATAGAATACAAAATACTGTTAGCGTTTTCATCTGCGTAAGTCCTTATAATATGACCATCGATTTGTATAAAGCGATATAATGAATAATAATAATTTTAACTTTGGATATAATGGATTAATTGTAAGGACGTTTTTGAGTGAGGCACGATTAAGACACTATAGGTCCAACGAAATATTTCAAACGATAGTGTAAAAATCTCCATCGCACTGAGTTAGCTACTCGTTGACGAATTTTATTTCCATTTATCTAGTATTAAAAACCTTTTAAGAAACTTCTGTGTTCATTTTCGTTTACTATTTCTGTTCACGCACGATTTGTAAATAGCAAGATTTGATATTTTCCTTTTTTATTACATTTATTAGGTACTTTGGTATCGCATGTGCTAAAAAGATGGCGTAAAATCCGGCACACGTCCTAGGTCTAAGAGCTCAACGACCGGATGTATATGGGTGAGGGCACGATCAAATATGATATTATTATTTATTAAATAATATAGAATAGCCATTTTACTTCATATTTACAAAATTTTATAAATGGTTTAACTAGCCCATTTAATATATAGTGTTACTAAATGAAAAACTGTCAAATATTATTAAGAGTTACTTAAAACTATATAAAAGGAACCTAATTTCTCTTATGAAGAAAATAAAAAAAATAGAGCTTTAAAAACCATTTTTCAAATTGATGAATGCTTGAAACAAATATACAAAACAAACACAAACGGTAAACTAGTTTACTGTAGACATCTTAAATATCCTCTGAACAATAATTATTTTATCAAAAATTATCAACATGTACGACTTTGACTAAGAATTTAAATAGTACTGCTAGTTTTAAGATAACTATACTTATTGCTTCAAATTAGTCATACAAAATAGAAAGAAAAGTCACAATATATGACTAAGATTTGATTAAACCCAGCAATATCGGCCTTACGATATACAACCCTGAATAAATTATCTTTACGAGTATGTATTTCAAGAAACAAATTTGGCAACATTCTCCATGCCATTTTTGGACATCATCCAGTGATAACAACAGCCCACGAATCGTAAAAGGGGGTTATGGCGATCTATGTTTTCAATTATATTCCTCGTCTATATCTCAGAAGCTTGGCAAAGTAATTTGTTAAGATTAACCATGTTGTTCTTATTAAGATCACTATGTCAAAGTTATATTTATAAATAAAATTGAAATTAGCTCAAAAAGTTTGCATGTCTATATATCTGATTCAGTTATGATATTAACAGGGCTACCAGATCGTATAATTGGATACGAAATTTGTAAAACATTAATATTATATTTCATTTTGTATTATTACGTATTTTTATTGAATTTTTTAAATCATCACAGATTATTTCCCAACAGTTTTATTAATTTGTATAATAAAATTTGATTTGATATAATTTGAGTGACCCAGCGGTGTAAAATAAGTTGTCTGTATTGGCAGTCCTGGATATTAAGTCCGACTGAAGAGGATATAACGAATTAAAAAATAAAGGATTCAAACTTAATTTCTTTCAGTCAATAATAGTAATGGTGATGATAATCATCTAGTAATATTTCTAAGACACCTTTCTAAGTGTAACCTATAACCTGCAATTTTTATGTGCAGCAGCAGATATGTACCAAATTTGTTTAAAACTCTTGAGCATCATTTACAAAAATTATAGTTGTAGTTAGTATTAGTGTAGCTTCCTATTTTTCGCTTTTGTATATAAAACGAGGCTCATATTATTAGAATTCCTAAACTATATAACATAAGAAATGCTGAAGACGTTAGCTAGTCTATGTATATTTTTTATAATTCAAGTCCATTTCTTATACTTACCGCTCAATACGTGGACGAGAACAGATCTGGGATTTGCATTTGCTGGGGCACATGTATAGTGACCGGAGTCTGGTGTCCGCGCCTTCTGGACCAGGAGATGAGACGTCGTCATCTCACCTTTTTCAGTAATTACTGATACTCCACCTCGAGGAGAATCGTAGTTTATCTCCTGTTGAAGAACAATATGTTAAAACAAGTTGATATTAATCTGATAGCTTTTTGTTTAATTCTTACCCAATTTTTCGACTAAATAATTCTAATTTGACCGATGATGGAAAATCTTACTTCAGATCTTAGATTATGACAAGAACAATTTTAATAATAAAAATAATTTTTCAAATATTTTTAGTAACTAATTACAGTTATATATCAGAATCGGTTCCATGACTCTTTTGATCTTTTTTAGCTGTTCCCTGCAATATAAATAAATCTATGTCATGTAAATATGTATTTATGTATGTATATGTTTATGTATATATGTAAATAAACCAAATTCTTAGGTTTTACATATTAGTATACTGTTACATTGCAGTTTATGTTTTTTTTTTCAGAAATAAGATTTTCCGCGGTAAAAATTATCCTATATGTTCACCTGGATATCCAGCTATCATCATACCAAACATTAAAATCTGTCGAGTGGTTTTCTCGTGATGCGGTAACAGAGAGACAGAAAGACAAAAATTCTAAAAACTATAGATTCGGAGTTGTAGCGATAATAATGTATATTTCAATTAGATTTTCCTAAAAATTTAATGTACAGATTCGACTTAGTTGGAATTTTATTGTATGTATAGATTATTATGACAAAAATTTTGCTACATATTTCCTTATTTGGAAATATTGTGTTGAAGGAGATTTAAAACTTTTTTGAATCTACTCTCAGAAAAGACATAAAATTATTTAACTCATTTTTAATTTTATTTGCTACTTGAAAAATAGTCATCAAACGTTTTCTAGCTCTTAATGATGTAATCTAAAATACATGTTATGTACATCTAGAAAAAAAGTTCAAAAATAACTTTTAGCTTAATACTTTCTTAGATTTACGCGAATATTTGACATTTTAAATAAAACTATCTTTTCGGATTTTGTCGCGGATTTATTTGTATTTTTGTTTCCCGACGTTTTGAATGCTTTACAGCATCCATGGTCACGGGAGAGACTGAGGTGTTACATGTCTTAAAGATATAGTTGTTACAGACAGCCTACCCACAATTAACAAAATGAAAATTGCACCAATTACATTACAATATTTTAACTTTAAATATTTTTATAATTTTAATTATAGTTGAATATGGAAAATTATTTATTTAATTTTTGCTATTATTTTTATAATTATTACAATTTTAAAAATATTAATTAGCAATCTATATTTAGTGTTGCCATTATTATATTTATAACCATAAGAAAAATATAAAATATAGTATTCATTATTTAAGCCACAATTGATCTATGTGTAATTTGAAAAAGTTAAGATTAATTAAAAAATAATAATTTTAATTTAAATTTGCTATTATTTAAAAACAAATTATTAAGCAACACATTACTACATACATTTACAAATGAAAAAGTGACAAAATATTATTAATCAGAAATGCTATCATTTTGATCTACACAGTAAGAACTTACTACATCTACCTGTCTGTTATGTTTAGATTTATTATTAGATTTTATTATATTAATAACAGGATCCCATGACGATGGTAGTACCCAACCATCTTCCCTATTGAAATTAGATGGTTGGGTACTACCATCGTCATGGGATCCTGTTATTAATATAATAAAATCTAATAATAAATCTAAACATAACAGACAGGTAGATGTAGTAAGTTCTTACTGTGTAGATCAAAATGATAGCATTTCTGATTAATAATATTTTGTCACTTTTTCATTTGTAAATGTATGTAGTAATGTGTTGCTTAATAATTTGTTTTTAAATAATAGCAAATTTAAATTAAAATTATTATTTTTTAATTAATCTTAACTTTTTCAAATTACACATAGATCAATTGTGGCTTAAATAATTAATACTATATTTTATATTTTTCTTATGGTTATAAATATAATAATGGCAACACTAAATATAGATTGCTAATTAATATTTTTAAAATTGTAATAATTATAAAAATAATAGCAAAAATTAAATAAATAATTTTCCATATTCAACTATAATTAAAATTATAAAAATATTTAAAGTTAAAATATTGTAATGTAATTGGTGCAATTTTCATTTTGTTAATTGTGGGTAGGCTGTCTGTAACAACTATATCTTTAAGACATGTAACACCTCAGTCTCTCCCGTGACCATGGATGCTGTAAAGCATTCGAAACGTCGGGAAACAAAAATACAAATAAATCCGCGACAAAATCCGAAAAGATAGTTTTATTTAAAACGTTTAGCTTAGTTTGTAGTGACCCTACTGGCTATAGCAGCGGTCGCTGGTTCGAATCCCACTTCATTCATTGGGGCAGGGGGGCATTCATTTATGTGATGAGAACGAATATGTACTCCAGCCATGGGTGTTAATATTTATAACCTGTATGTATTTAAAGTTTTATATGTGTAGTGTATCAACTATCTGGTATCCATAATACAATCCTCGTAGCTTACCATGGAACTAAATGGTGTTGTATGTTAATGTCCCAACAAAAAAAAACAACAACAACAACAAAACTCACTTACATCTATCATACGCTGGTACAATTTAAAAACCAATTTATTTTATAATATCAAAATAAAAGTATAGTTTTATTATAGAAAAAGAAAACAAATAATCTCATGCCAGAACCAGATGCGATGTGTTTTCAATTTCCTCATACACCAAGATTAGTTTACCATAAGACCTCGGGGAAAAGTACAAAATCTGTTGAGTATTTTTTGATACCACTCTAAGAAAACATGCAAATTGCGTTTCATTTTCTCATCAATTTTAATTTAAATTGTGCTTTGCTTATGTAAATATTGTTTTTTTATTATCGATTTACCTTATCTTACTTTAAGGAAAATTATAACACAATATCTTAAAATATGACATGGCTCTACTTCTTTTATATAGATAGGAGGTTCAATTCTATTTAAGCATAAAAACAAAAACACCCTGTGTTTAACAAAAAGCTTCATCACCATACAAAGTTTAAGATAAAGAATGAAAGAATAAGATTTTTTAAGTTTTGATGTTTGGTGTTATATTAAATGTAGTAAAAATATGAAAATTAAGTTAAACTAACATACACGTATAATTAATAGTTTTTTTTTGGATAGTATTATATGTAAGCAAGAATATTTAATAAATAATTCGCAGTGATACAAAAAATATATGATTGCAACAATCATTTTAAACCTTTTATTACATAATGTACTCAATTACCTCTATAATATGTAAAAGCTTAGAGAAACGCTTTAGACCTTATTTAAAATAATTAAAGTTAAATATTGAAATCCTATTATATATAAAAATCGGAGTTTCGTTTTTTGTAGATATAGAATTTTTACACTTACTTATGTTCTAACAAAAATTGATAGGTAAAAAGAAAAATGCTATCGGCACTTTCAAAAGTAATATCCTAGAGATATCAGCCATGACACAATATCGACAGAATTCAACAAGATCTTTGGTGCCCTCAAGACATGTCCAATACACGTTGAAGCAAGTCTAAACTGAATTCCAACTAACAATGGATTTGGGCTTTATTTTATTTTCTGGCAGCACAATTGCGAGGTCGCTTGCAACTCATTTTGGCAAGGATTCAAATAAGCCGCGAGTTTCTTGAATAAATGCAAAGAAACTTTCGTAGACGGTGTTCTCCAAATGTTCTGCATCTCTGATTGCGTAATTCGTAGCTAACAGATGTATGGATTATGTGATGTAAAGGTTTTAGAGCATGTAAGCCATTTGATAAGTCTCCTCGAGTTAGAAAGTTGGAATTTTCTGAACATATATACGTTGTATACCTTGCTTTGGTTCTAAAGATGAAAGAATTCAACCTGTGTATCTAACAAACTTGGAAATAATGGACTCTATTTATAACTCGTGAGAATTTTAATGTTTTAAGCATGCATTTTAAAGTTTGTGTGCAGATTTCATATAGAATATACTATTAAAATCTGTTCACATGATGGATAGCACAGTTCGTTCAGTGCCAGTGGTGGATCTTAATTTTAAAGCACAAACATTAAAGCTCGTCTAAAGGTACTAAATAAGAAACAGAACAACGGTTAACAAACAAAGGAAAAAAGGTACTGAAATGTTTTGTATTTATGTAATTATTTAAAAAAAGAACGAACTTTTTTCAACATCTTTTTTATTGATAATAATAAATATTTTATTGATAAAACTGAAGCGCAAGTCATTACCTACTGAAGAAAACAAAGAAAATTGCTTGACAAACAGAAGAGAAAAAGGTATCATCTATCGAACTGTTGTTTCTTTACTTTACTTATTTATACGAGTATATAGATACAAAAAACAATATAAAAGTCATTAGAAATATATGAAGACGCGTAACTAATCTACTGTGTTACATCTTAGGAAATACTTTGAAAAATTCCATCAAACAGCAATAAATTACATTTGAATTTTGTAATCGTGTTCCTTTGTCGAATATCTGTAAAGGCTACGTTAGCAGCAGATATTATTCCCAAGGCTGTATTATCATATGCTTTCATATCGTACTTTAATTTAAATACGCTATGCGTGATGTATTGGATCTGTACGAATGAAATTTTCATACAATATATGTATTAAATAGAATGAAAAAAAAAATGTATGTGATTTTCATTTATAAAATGAAATGAAATGAGTAATAATGTTCGATAAATGTTTTTCACATTTTATATAAATAATTCTTTTTAATTAACTTTATATATATATATTATACTAGCGACTCACCCTCGCTTCACTAAGTTGATGCCCCAATACAAACTTTCGTCACCATTTTTACCCCTTTAAGGGATGATTTCTGAGATAAAAAGTATCCTATATTAGTATTATAGTATAGTATGTCCTTCCTAGGGTCTCAAGCTATTTTCTTACCAAATTTCATCTAAATCAGTTCAGTAGATGCAGATATTACCCCCTACAACCCCACAAACTCACAAACTTTACCTCTTTATAATATTAGTAGAGATAAGTATGTATAAAAGAGCTTGTAAATGTATTACATTTTATATTAAAAAAAATAGTGGCAATAATACCACGAGATGAAGTAAATAAGGCTTTAAATGCTCAATCCGTGGTTAATTTTATTTATACATAATATTTAATTTTTACTTTAATCTATTAATATCTAGATTTGAATTAATAAAATCTTGTTTATTCATTATATATGTATATTGACGGAGTATAAAGTTTGCTCTTGTCCTGCCCCATATTCTTACATAACAATGTATATCTCATATACATGCGTACAATAATAATATTGTTATAAAAATGTCCATTTAAACAAAGTGTATCGTTCAAACCCTTAACAATAGAAGGTAAAAATAACAAATCCCAACTTGTGGGAATTAAATTTCTCTTTTGACATTGAAACCGGTTTTTATGCCTTTAAGCGCTTTTGACTAAAATTCCTTCTCAATAGCTGCGGAGGTCTATTTCACTCACAATCAGTAGAGAAAAATTTTGTTATTTAAAGCTTACTTTTATTAAATTTTCGTGTAAAGTCTTTAAAATCACACCGAAACAAACGGACACCGGTCAGAAAAGTGAACCATAACGAAATAGGTTGTATACGAAATAGGTTGCATTCGGTTGCAATAGTAACCGTTATTATATTCTTTCCTAGGTGTTCTTCAAAGATTACTCTTTATACTAATTTAAATTAATTTTTTAATTTAAATTTAAAAACAAAAACACTAAAAACGACTCGCTGAAATAGACGTTTTACGTTAAAACAACGACAGTGTGCCCTGATACAGCCCTACCCGATATTTTTTTTCAAGTTCAATTGCAATTCAAATATAGGCTTTGTGTCGGCTCATATAATATTGAAAATATTTAAGCTGTAAAGATTTATCTTTTTCGTTTTTTGCTACCACGGCTTGTTAGAGCTTTACCACTACATTAAAAATACTCTATTAGAAGATCTTATAAAGCTTAGAGATGTAAGAGCAAAACCCTTGCGTTGGAGGAATGATAAATAATATCATATGTTCTTTCAGAGTGTAAAGTATATCAATCTTTAAACATATATAAAAATCGATGTGTATGTTCCCTATGGACTTCAAAACGACTGGAGCGATTATGATGAAATTATCTGGCAATCTTCAAATTGGCCAGCGGGTGATCCTGTGAAGTTTAGTAGTGATCGGAAATTTAAACGCGGGCAAAGCCGTGAGTACTGCTAGTTCTGAACATTAGTTAAGCCGTTAAAGTACCCTGATGTTACACTCACACATGTGTATGTACTCAATTAAACACAAATATGTATTTACTCAAAAACTTAAACCTTCATCTTTATAATATGTAAATAAAAATCTGATATTGTGATTGTAATATTCTTCTTTAACTGCTGGATTGATTTTGATGTCTTTTTTGTGTACTTTTAATGTCTTTTGGATGAAGCTTAGCTATAATTTGACATTTTAAATAAAACTATCTTTTTAACTTTTTCGCGGATTTATTTTGATTTTTGGTTCCCGACGTTTCTGACGCTTTACAGCAATGATGGCCACGAGAGTGACACTATGGCTCTCTCGGAAAAGATAGTTTTATTTAAAATAGGGCATTATTATAATTTTAACTTCTTATATTAATGTATTACCTCATCATTATGAGTCCAGCGAATGGCAGGCGGAGGCTCTGGCGAGTGCTGAACGACGCACGTCAAGTTGATCGTGCTTCCCATGTTGATGAAAAGCTCTGGACCTCCCAGAATTGTTGTTAACGGTTCTATATTGAAACAAAAAAATATATTAAAAAATAACATTTTTAATACTAAAAATTCTTTAAATTCCATAAAAAATAGATTTTTTTAGCAGTTTTTATTGATTTCATAACTTTAAAAGGATATTTTATGTTCCTGTAACGAATGACAACAAATAACAGATGCTCAATTTGTTTAGAAATCTGTCTGAACTGTGCCTAAAAGGGTAATCTTATAATGTCATGATGCCCTTTTTAATGGGTGAAACTAATCTATATATATAATAACATTCTAACTAATTACATATTTTTTGGAAAATCTTATTGAAATAGACATTATTATTGATACAGAGGCCGAATCTATAGTTTTTAGAATTTTTGTCTGTCTGTCTGTTACCGCATCACGGAAAAACCACTGGAGGGATACTGATAAAATTTGCTATGGTGATAACTAGTTATCCGGGTCAATATATAGGATACTTTTTACCGCGGGGAAATATCGCATTTCTGAGAAAAAATCAAAACTGCAATGTAAGAGTATAGTAATATGTAAAACCTAAGAATTTGGTTTTTGGTCATCTGAACGCGGGCGGAGCCGCGGGCAATGCTAGTGGTATTATATAACTAATGGCAATATATAGCTAAATATTGAAATAAGTTCTTTTTTCCACATGAGGCTTATGAAGTTGTAAATATTAATATGTAATAGGTACAGCTATCGTCAAACCAAAATTTATTGTGTACCTAATCAACATCTATTTTAAAATATATCCTAAAATAACATTAAAAATTTAAGTGATAGTAGAAAAATGTTTTAAAAGACAAAAAAATCGAAAGTGAATTTTACAACACTTCCGCGATACCATTCAACAAAGAGAGACAATAGCATTCCCAAGGAGGGTTGACGTCAGGCAGGCGGCCGGTCGTAAAACTTTTGCCAAATCCTATCAGCAGTACAGAAAATGTACTGCGCCGACCCCAAGTGATTGAGAAATGGGCAGGGAGAAGAAGAAGAAGAATAGGTACAGCTATCAATATAATTTTGATGTTTTTTTTATGTGTATAGCATGTGAAGTAGTTTTTGCGATATCGAATATTTTTGGTTCTCGCTTTGGTATTTTTAAGACCTGAAAATTTATTTCTAAATACTATGAAGTACAAGTTTTTAGCTATTGATAAATAAATATTGTTGCTGAGTTAATACTATGATATTTGACCTAACATAGATAACATAGTTTTTTTACCTTAAACCTACGCGTGTTGCATTAGTTAAAAAAAATAAAAAACAAAAATAGATTTTTACTACTAAAAATATTTTAAAATCTAAAAGACGAACTAAACCGAACAGTATATCTCTTCATTATTTACGTTTCTCCAAATAATAGGTATTGGTTGCAAATAATACAGGAACGTGAAGCCATAACACAAATATGCAAGTAATAATTTCGAATTTATGAAATATAATTTTGTTTATACAGCCCAGTGGTATCTCGGTTGTTTGGGAAATCAAGTGAAGTGAGTTCAAAATACAGGGGCCTCGCACATCTAATGTTTTCATGTACTAATCATTATTCAACATGATAAAAATAAATCTGCATGTCTGGCAAAACTTTGAAAGTTTTCGAAAGACATAATGAAGTCCACCAACTCGCATTTGGCCAGCGCAGTGGACTATGGCCTGATCCTCCTCGCATTGAAGTGGCCACACCCAGCTGTGGGATGTTAAAAGGGTATAAAAACTACATAATATAGGAATATCGCGAGCTTAGAATGCAATTTTTCATCATTTCCACGTTGTGTTTTTAATAGGATCGAAAGATAATAAATGTAACTAATAGTTTTCTTTAAAATTATATATTGTCTTGGGAATTATGTGATCTATAATTTTAAAGAGACTTGAACGCCAATAGTCGTTAAACTTGTGGTAAAATTTAATTGTAATTGAATTGAATAAGATAGCCAAAATTGGTATAATTACTACATTATTTAATTCTCCGGTAATGGAAATACGCAGTAAGTTCGATGGAAACAAGCATGGATCAACCACAGCATAAAGAAGAGATCTACGTAAATAGGGGACTTGGAAATATTTTTTCTGCAATTGTTATAGAACAGAATCAATTTAAATATGTATATCGATATTTTTTTTATCAATGGAGGAGTCTAAAGATATCATTTTAATAGTTCTTACTTCTATATTTTTCTCGCTTTCATGTGAACATAGTTTTATTCTGGTTAGACATTTGTCAGAATAAAATCAAAGCTCAAACTAAATTTGGGCATGTCGTTTTAAAAATTGTATTAAAATAACAATTTAATCGTTGTCATAGAATCATAATATGTCATCTTAATGTTGTAAATCCAAAATGTGCAAAGGATTTAGTACCTTTTTTACATATTATTATAATTCAATCTAGTACAGTAATCTTATTTTACCGACCAATCTCCTATATGTCTTCTCCATTCTACGTGACATTGGCGAAGTAATCTGTGTTCAACTAGCACGCTTTGAAGCCACTAGCAAAAGAATTGAATTGAATTTTTATTTCAACAATTGTAGATTGACATCTTGTCTAAAGCCACTATGTTCGATAAAACACTAAGAATTGCTTTCATTTTCCAGTCAAATATTTGATAACATATTCACTTTGTTAACTTGGACTCATTGCGTCTTCATTATAGACAGATACGCGGACCGTATAAGCAATATTTTTAATGCAGATAAATCAATACAGATAATTGTACATACAGTGTCTGAACTCTCAAGGAATTGAAAAAGCAGATGAAATTCAATTCATTAACGCGATTGAAATGGAAATTTTAATCATGATATTTCTTTCAAAGATGGGTTTTTATTTTAAAATACTATTATCCTACTGGTCTGAATAATATTTGCTAAAATAATAACTGGATATAGGTTACCGCGCTCGTCGATTTTCGAATTATGAAATGAAGTGTACGTAGTTACTTTAAATTGTATTTTCTTTAAAAAATACTCTTTAAAGAAATTTTTATGTGTGACTAGTGACTTGCCCTTTCTTCTATCGAGTGCGACCCTAAGTATACCGTACAAGATCATCGACTTATGTTTATAAATACATATTTATAAACGAGCGACTCACCCTCGCTTCGCTCGGGTTCGTCTTTAGATAAATTTTTACGTTTAGTCTGGAATAGATAGTCTATGTACTATATGATATATGAGCCTATAGGCTTCCTAAATAAACGGGCTATCTAATGCAAAAATATTTTAAAAATATAAAAAGAATTTTTCTAATCGGATTAGTAGTTCCTGACATTAGCGCGTTTAAACAAACAATCAATCAATCGATCATTCGGACGATCAGTCGGTCGACCAGTCTATTCTATATATATATTTGAATATCTATCCAAAAATACCTATCATGTACATAATAATTCTATTTCTTTTTTTCATTCCTCATTTATATATTTGGAATACTAATATTTTTGATATATTGATTTCATTATTACCTAGCTTACACAGCTTACACGAACTGTCTACATAAGTTTCAATCAATATTGCCAATGGTTCTCGAATGGCTTTGACAAACGGACAAACGGAGATGACAAAAGCATAAGGGTTTGATAAAGTATTTTTTAACCCCCGACGCAAAAAAATGGGTGTTATAAATTTGACGTCGATGTCTGTCTCTGTGTGTTTCTCTGCCAAGCTTAAGCTCTCAAACGGATGAACCGATTTTGATGCGGTTTTTTTTCATTTGAAAGCCAGTTTCCTTGTGGTGGCTCTTAGCTATGTTTGGTTAATATCGGTCCAGCAGTGTAAGAGTATCAGCTCCTTTCCCAAATGATGTAAGGCATTTTGGCGTATGACTACTCGATTAAGTGCTTCACGCGTGCCAGTGTAATCGTTAAATGACAATTAATTTGCGTAGGGGGTTTTTATACAAGGAACGTTGCTGGAGTGCGATTTAACTGGAATTTTACTCTTACTGATAGTGTAAATGCACTCATCGTTTCTTGTATAAGAATACTTTACCGACCGATATTGGATCGAGAACGAACCCTTATCAACACTATAGCGTAGATCGTTCTTTAAGGTTTTATTTTTGACTTTTGATACGGAACCCTAAACTTGAAAACGTCATTTTATAGGGCTTGTTGAAATAAATATGAAGTGACTTTTCATCTTTTGAGGGGATGAAGGAGATGAGAGTCGTTTGTACAGCCCCTTTAAAGGGATATAATTAAACCCTAATCACAATGATATTAGAAGATAAAATGTTTGAGCAAAAAAATATTTTTTGCGAAATTCTAAGTTAAAACTTATATATATATATATATATATATATATATATATATATATATATATATATATAATACTAGCAACTCACCTCACTGCGCTTGGGTTCGTCCCTAATTACGTTTTAATTTTTAGTGTAGATTTCTTAGAAATGAGATATTTTCACGCAGTAAAAAGTAACCTATATGTTGACCCGGATAACCAGCTATCATCATACCAAATTTCATCAAAGTCAGTCCAGTGGTTTTCTCGTGATGCTTTCCCAGACAGGCAAACAAAAATTCTACAAACCATAAATTCAGCCTCTGTATCGCTAATAATGACAATTTCAATAAAATTTTCCAAAAAATATTTAATGTACAGATTCTGCTCAGAATATCATAGCATATGTACTCTAACTTAAAAGCTATATTACTATGAAGTTTTATTAAATTCCGTTCAGTAGTTTTTGCGTGAAAAAGTAACAACATACATCCATACGTCATCACATGTAACTTTCGCGCTTATATTATTAGTAAGGTTATTTATGTTAGTTTAAAGTTAAATAAGTGCATTACATAAACAAATATGGTTTGACCCTCAAATTATAATGTTTGATTACAAGTTTTTATTTGACTTGCAATGTTTGTTTGTTCGTGTCAAAACTTGCAACTGAATTTTAAAGCAGCAGAAATTTCGCATACACGTTTTTGGATGACAATACATGGTGAGCTCAGTGACGTCATTCAAATTCGAAATATTTTATTTAGCATTAAATTATCACATTTTTTACTGAACGTCATGAGTCTACTACCAGTTCGGATAGAAGAAGCCTCATCTCTAAAAAGAAGAAAATAAACTATAAATTAAATCAAACCCAACAATTTATTGCATTACATAATTTATATGATATAAACGCTTGTCGGGAGATTTACTTGTGTAGTTAAACAAGAAACAAAATGTTATAAAATAATGTTTTTATATAAAATAGGTAAATTTCATGAATAAACTATATAAAGCAGTATAGGTACATCTATACGAAAACCTACTTCCGGCCAGATAGCCAACATACAAAAACAAACAGCTATTACTTACCGACAACAGAGAGGTACATCCGGTGTCCAATGGGCGGTGTGGTACCAACTTGGCACTCATAGATACCGGAGTCACGCCGTTGGGGAAATCTTATCTGTAGATTTTATGTTTATTAATGGTCAGAAACTGGCGTAGTCTAGATAGTAAATTACTTAGTCTGCATGCGATGTAAAATCCTGGGTCAAAGCCAAAAGTCTCCACCTGCGCATGAAGCTGTGAAATTTGCGACCCGATTAACAAGTATTGGACGAACGAGCCTTTCTTACTACAAAACAATATTAGCTGCTACCCGCGGCTTTACTCGAAATGTATCCATGTTCTTTTATACTATTATAAAATTAAAAAACCTTATTTAAATAAGCTCGTCATATGCTTCCTCGATGGCCTAGTGGTTAGAATGTACGGCTGCAGAATCGAAGGTTCTGGGTTCAAGTATTGGTTTGCGTCAAGTATAATTATCGAGTCTTTGTCATTCATTGAGTTCTCAGTAACAACGGGTTGTTGACAAGTTGGCGGTGTTTCATCCCCGTTCCACGTATGGAATTGTCTTCCCAATGGAATTTGACAGTGTAAAGAATAGAGAGTGCATTTGTGTCTGCGCGTACACTTGTGCACTATAATATCTCCTGCGCAGTTGGCTAGTCTCAGTGAGATTGGTCGCCGTCGTGGAAATCGTTTGGTAAGACATTGTTATATAACAAACATTCAAAGAATTTCAGAAAGTTTTGCATTCATTATATTGATATAGTCTTGGTGACCTTTGCGTGGTGTATTAAGGATAAGGCTATATATTTATGAGATATTTTTTTAATTGAATTAAATAAAAATCGACATCAATTGTCTACTTGTACATACACATACATATATTTGAATAAACGAACCAAACCTACATACACTATACTGGATTATAGATATTTTTATTAAATAAAAGTAATCATTTAAATCGAATCGAATTGATGAAAACTATTGGAAACCTATTTAAGTTAGTTAAAAAATAAATATCTAACTCTCTCTCTCTCTACAAAATAAAGTCATATAACTATGACTTTATTTTGTTCCGAACAATAAGACATAATAATGCTTCAAACCAAAAATAGATCAAGTGGGTATTCAATAAAGTTTTCATAGGATTGCTTTAACAATTAGTACTTATTTGTACTAGAAAAGCCATACTTTATGTTTTAGTTATTGTATATAGTTCTTTTTAACATCCTACTGCTGGGGGTGGGCCTTCCTTCAGTACAGGGGGGGGGATTTTTAGTTAAACTAGCCAAAAATTGCACTATCTATTATGTACTGTATTAATAAACTATTTAAAGCTATAATATAATTTTGGTCCATAATTTTAGATTATTTCACTATATTATATTTTGTTACTATCTATTTTATTTATCTGTTGTTATCTAGGCCTATTGTAAATCTATGACGACTATATCTTGATGACATGTTTAGCTGAGTTTGTAGTGACCCTACTTGCTGTGCCAGCGGTCGCGGGTTCGAGTCCCGCTGGGGTCATTCATTTGTGTGATGAGCACGAATGCCTGTACTTCAGTCATGGGTGTTTATATTTATAATAATATGTATTTAAAGTTACATATGTTTAGTGTATGAACTATCTGGTATCCATAACACAAGCCTCGTAGCTTACCATGGAACTAGACGGTGTTGTGTATTAATGTCCCAACATATTTATATTTATTTACGTTTTAATGAATATTTGATACGCTCATCCCTAAGGGTAGAATAATTACTATTGAAAGGTGTTGAAGTCGGTGTAAACCTTTTAAGTAAAAAGTATTAAAATAAAGTCTTTATAATTATAATGTGTTTTTAAAAAATATTCTTTTTTAATTTAAAGGTGCTTGTAAGTCTTTTTGAATATAGTATATTTAGTTTTAATGTAAATGGGTAAAGATGTTAAATTTAAGAGTATTTTTGAAGTAGATCAAAATATTTTAAATACATAAATGTCCCCAAAATCGATTACAGCTATGGCGGTCAATCTCACTGAGACTAATCAACGGCGAGACATATTATAGATCACAAGTGTTTGTGCAGTGTCCTTTAACTCGTACATCATTTCTATAGGATAAAAACTCGACATGACAAACGAGAGATAAGGCGCAGGACTAAAACCATAACATTCTTTTAAAAGCACGGGAGAGTAAGATCAACTTCTCAACTCCACTCTTACTAAGAGAATATATTGACAGATTCCAGCAACTATTATAGCTCAATTAAGGCCTCGAACCCAAGTTTTTCAATCTGACGGTATACAATTTTGTCATATAACCAACGAAGCAGTTATAAGAAGTGTACATATACCCAAAAGGAAAACCAATTTTTCGAAGTTAGCTAAATATAATATAGGGATATAACTGTAGGTTAAATCTCGTTTTTTGTAATATTAAGTTTTGTTGTATATTATGCATGCTGTGTCTGTATCTAGAAAAATGCAATCCTGTGTATTAATTTTGCAAGCTATTTATATTTTATATGTGTTTGATTGTCATTTGTTTTGTGGACCAATAAACATAAATAAATAAATATTTTAAAAGAATTGAGTAAGACCACATGTTTGGCTCAGTTTGTAGTGACCCTACTTGCTGTGCCAGCAGTCGCGGGTTCGAATCCCGCTTGGGGCATTCATTTGTGTGATGAGCACGAAGGTTTGTACTCTAGTCATGGGTGTTTATATTTATAATATGTATGTGTTTAAAGTTATATATGTGTAGTGTATCAACTATCTGGTATCCATAACACAAGCCTCGTAGCTTACCATGGAACTAGATGGCGCTGTGTGTTAATGTCCCAACTTATTTATTTATAGACTTCTGATATATTTAATAATTATTTATTTTGCATATGGAACACAATATTACTTCTTTACCGATGAGATGAAAGAGAGAGACCACTAGCGCCACGCACGGCCAGGAAACGAACAACCATTTAGTTTATAAAGACACTTAGATATTATATAACAAATTATATATTAAATTTATTAATTTAATATATAACTTATATAGATATAGAATCAAGACCTTTGGAAGTTCCAAACAACAAGTGACTAATTTGCGTGGAGTTATCAAGAATGAAATTCAACTATCCCGTCTAGTGAAGTTGGATAGTTCATGTAACTTCAGCTTCCTGTCATTGCTTAGTTCTAGAGTTCTAGTAATCTAAAGACTAATGTCAGCAAACTGTACTACATATACATATACACATAACATATAGCACTTTGATGTATGTATATATATATATATATAAAACTTTAAATGAAACTATCTTTTTTTACGGATTTATTTTGATTTTTGGCTCTCGACGTTTTGTTTATTGACTATATGATACGAGTATGTCCGTTAAGTTGACCCCGCAATTTTCGAATTTCTAAGAAATAGAAAATGTGCTGAAATATGCCCAGTGTGTGTTGTTATGTGCCACTTAAAAAATATATATACAAGAAATAAAACTTTTACGAGGAGGTCCATTTTTTCAAGTCCGGTTAGCTCCGACACTTTACTATATGACACCTTTGAGATATCTAAAACCTTAGTCCCTCCCGTGACCATGATTACTGGTTGGAAACCAAAAATCAAAATAAATCCGCGAAAAAATCCAAAAAGATAGTTTTATTTAAAAATAGGTTGAAAATATTATCTATAGTTTTTTAATGATGTTTTTAAAATATAGCAAAGCTTTCAGTGCAATAAAATATTACAAGTTTTTTCGACTACTTGTTTATTTGATATTTGTCACTTTTTTCATATTTATCCCTTAAATATGTTAATTCCACACAGTATTAGGTATTCTATTAGAGTAAGCGATAGTAGAATTTCATTTTATTAAAGCCCGCTAAAATTAAACAAATCGTGATACCAATAATTTAATGTTTTATACCTTTAATATCCAATCTTCTGTATGAGGATTGTGGACACTGATAAACCTCTGGTCAGAGGTATAAGTCATTCGTCCTGAAGTCAGGAGATGTATATCTCGGTGCCTGATCCATGATACCTGAGAACAAAATAATATGTTAGCTTAAATAACAACTTACATATTTAACTTCACATTTATATTATGTTCACTCAGTGGTCGAAATTAAACCATAATCGTTATTGAATTAAGGCAGTGGGAGGCCAGTGGTAACGCGCTCGCTTAGGAAACCGAGTGAAGCGAGTTCAAATCCCGGGTCTCGCACCTCTGATATTTTCATGTGCGAATCATTTCAAACACGATTACCAATTGCCTTAACGGTGAAGGCAAACATCGTGAGGAAACCTGCATGTCTGAGAGAACCTAGCAAGTTTTCAAAAAGACATGTGATGCCCGCCGCACTTGGCCAGCGTGGTGGACTATGGCCTGATCCCCCTCGTACTGAAGGAGGCTCGTTCCCAGCAGTGGGACGTTAAAAGGGCAGAATACATACATACATACATACATACATACATATATACGTATTATGTGTTATATTATTATTACATAGATAAGTATTATGTGTTATCTATACTAATATTATAAAGAGGTACAGTTTGTGAATTTGTGACGTTGTAGGACGTAATCTCTGGATGTACTGAACCGATTTAGATGAAATTTGATAAGAAGATAGTTTGAGACCCTGGGAAGGACATAGGATACTTTTACCCTGGAAATCATCTCTTAAGGGGGTAAAAATGGGGATGAAAGATTGTATTATGAATCAAGCTATTATTATAAACATAATTTAAAGAAAAGTTTAAGGACAAGTGAAGCGAGATTAAGTCATTAGTATTATATAAACATAAATATAAAATTGGTTAAATTAAACATTTAAATTACAGCACAATTGATGCTGTATTGAGATTTGTATTTCAAAGCACATCTTAAACCACACAAGCATTTAATTCTGGAAATTTTGGTGTGAGGTCGTTAATCCTATTTGGTTTCTCCTTTATCTTAAATCCGATTTTCATCTCATTTTGTTGTATATTTTCATTTTACCTAAACATTAAATATATTTTATTAAAATATCTTTGTGTTATTCAATATTTTATGACATTATTTCTGACGACACATTTGGCTCAGTTTGTAGTGACCCTACTTGCTGTGCCAGCGATCGCGGGTTCGAGTCCCGCTAGGGGCATTAATTTGTATGATGAGCGCGAATGTTTGTACTTCAGTCATGGGTGTTTATATTTATAATATGTATTTATTTTAAGTTATATATGTATAGTGTATCAACTATCTGATATCCATAACACAAGCCTCGTAGCTCACCATGGAACTAGATGGTGCTGTCTGTTAATGTACTAATATAAATAACTTGGTCTATCAGCATTCTATTGTTATGACGATTGGTTCATTGTTTTTTTAACCTTCTCAAATATTGTGACGTTAAAAACCCTATTCTTCTCATAATTATGCTAGATGTAAAACATTCATAACGTCGCAAAGAAAATGAAATTAAAATCGTGATAACATCTTGCTACGTTCTTTCAGACATGTAGGTTTCCTCACGATATTTTCCTTCACCGTAAGGCAAGTGGTAATCATGTTGGAAAAGATGGGTACATGAAAATGTCAGAGGTACAAAACTTGAGATTCGGACCAACTTTACCCGGTTTTCTAAGCGAGTGCTTTATCACTGCGCTATCAACACTATATTCTATCATATCTTTTCGTATTTTTTCTATAATATCTTTTCGTATTTTATCTATAATATCTTTTCGTATTTTTTATTTACTTTATCACCGGTTATATCGAGGTTAAAAAAAACATTGCTTGATAAAATATAATTCAGTCGTTTAAAACGACCATCCTTAGAATACTTGAGTAGCTCTCTAATTGAATCAGTAATGTTTTATTCAGACGCTCAAATGAAATTCAATACGTATAGATCTATAAAGGACATTGGCTATTTTTATATTTACATATTTTTTATTATACCAAGATTACGCACTGGAATCAATAAAACGATAGTTTATGTATACAAGAAAAAATAAGTATTATTTTATTTATTTACCAGGGTGGCTATGGCTCCCTTAATGTTACTCCACGTTATAGCCTATTTGCGTACTAAATTTTATTAAAATCCGTCAAGCTATTTCAGGGTTAAGGAGTAACAAACAAACATGCAAACAGTTATAAACACTTTCGAAATTTATAATAGGCGTCCTATTTATAGGCCGCCATTTGCTGAAATAACCACTCTTAGAAGATAAAATGAGTACATGAGTCTATCTTATTTATAATAAAATTCTAACTGAACCTAATCTGTTTCTCTCGTTTTCATTATTTTTTTTGGAAAATCTTATTGACATAGTCATTATTATCGCTATAAAGGCCGAATCTATAGTTTTTAGAATCCTTGTCTGTCTGAAAAACCACTGGTGAGATTTTGATTAAATTTAGTATGATGATAACTGTTTATCCGGGTCAACATATAAAAAGTTTTTATTGCGGGAAAATATCTCATCTCTGAGAAATCTATACTAAACCTTAAAAACTAATTAGAGACGAACCCGAGCGGAGCAAGGGTGAGTCGTTAGTAAATAATAATCGTGATAATATGAATATTATAGTTTCTATAATTGTAAGACTAAAGATATCAAAACTTTTGTTTAGTTTATTGTCTAGACAACCTCAGACTTAGCAATACATACAATATGGAAACTAGATAAATCTAGGGTAATTTTAGGTGCCTATATTAAAGGAGATTTTATGTCTTTAAGTTAGATCTAACTAGGTAAATATAGATATTGAAAGTAACGGTTTTTTTGTAGCAGAAAAAAAAGATTATGGAATATAGAATAAAATGCATTAATCTACATTATAAAGAGGAAAGATTTGTATTTTTGTATGTTTGTAACAAATAAACTCAAAAACTACTGGACCAATTTAGATGAAATTTGGTAAGAAGATAGTTTATATCGATTGTTATGAAATATATCCCACAAAAGAAATACGATATTTTTAATTCCGGAAATCATCCCTTAAGAGGGTGAAAATGGGGAGAGAAGCGAGGGTGAGTCGCTAGTGATTTTATAAAGCGTGATAATTTTGTTTAATACAATTTGGTTAAATGATAATTCTAGGAAATTTAATAAGAGAAATATTCGAAGCAATTCTGATATTTTCGTCCCTTTAACGAAATAGATTTAATTATACTTCTACAGACTTAGATTCTCAGTATTGTAATAGACGAGGAATATATAGAAACCTAATATCTACTTTGTTTTAATCAAATACCAAATAATTGCTAACAGTCTTATATAAACACACTACTTACAACATAACACCAGTATAAAATCTAATATATGTTTATGATATTAGAAATACCAGCCAGAGTGATAGCCAAGTGAAGCAGGTTCGTACCCGGTTATTGCAACTCTGCGAGAATTTTCCTTAGATCATTTTCAACATTATTACCACATGTTGCTACTTAATAGTTAGCAGTTCTTGAAACACCATCTCGCATGGACTATGACCGATTTCCCCTCACATTGAGTGTTCATAGGGACAATCCCTATGAACTTTGAAAGGGCTGATTGATATTATTTTAGTAGTCGATTCTTGAGAGTTACATGACTAAACAGGCAAACAGACTTATTTAGCTTCTATAATATCCTCTGAGTACAAACTTTCTACACAAATATATAATTGATACAGAATAAATTAAAAAAATAAAAGTTCAACCTTACTTGTCTAGATATAATATTTTCATTCCTCTTCTTATTTTAACAAACGATCAAATAGATAATATTTCTTACCGTTCTATTACCAAGATCGTGGACTCTGCAGTTCAGCTGTGCCGTCTTCCCAACAAGAGCTGTGACATTTCTGGAGTAAGGAATATCAAAATGAGGTCCTCGTTGTGTGAGCCCTAAGTCTACATCAGTGTACTCCAACTCCTGGACGCCATCTGAGCTTAGACCATTTATATTATCTGTACAACCTGCAAAAAAAAGCAAATAGGTTAGTTTAGGAAAAATGTTTGTCTTTTGCGCAAATATCAATGGCCATAAGATTTCATAATCTCTGTATGTTGATATTGAATCCCAAATTAATCAGTCCAGTCGTTTCGGAGATTAGCCGAAAAAATTTTAAAATTATTTTTTCACCGTTAATACTGTCATATATCCATTTAGTAAAAAGCTGTTATTTGGACATTATAAACAGATACTTCAATTTTATTTATTTGTATGTATCTGTAAGTATAATATATTTGTATGGAGATGCTACAGCTTAGTGGAATGTGGTTTGTGTTTTTCACCAGAGGCAACAAATCCAATTCTATTTGGAATAAATACTGACCATCAGTATGATTTACAGCTCCAAATGAAGCCCAAACTCGTAGAAGTCATCAAGTATGCAACATAACTATATATTTAAATAGTTATCATAAATTAAAATACAAATTGCAAGAACAAAATGCAGCTCGCTTTAATCAGGACTTGCTGTTTTGTCCATCTACTTGAATCTTGGGAATAATTTCCATTGTATAAATTAATTTTGTATTCAACAAAGAGTTATTTTACTGAGCATCGAACTGAAAATAAGATATTCGTCAAGTTGTTAATTTGTTACTATTTTGCTTTAAAATTGCTATAATTTAATGAATAAAACAAAACGTAGTTTACATTGTCGATTGTTCTTCACGGTATATCATATCAGGGTTCTGTATTCAATAATATACATACAAAGGCCGAATCTATAGTTTTAAGATTTTTTTCTGTTTATCTGCCTGTCTGTGACCGCGTCGCGGGAAAACCACTGGACAGATTTTGATGAAATTTGGTGTGATGTTAGCTGATTTTCTTTTTATTGCTTTTTACTGCGGAAAAATATGTCATCTGTGAGAAATCTATACTAAACCTTACAACGTAACTAAGGGGTGAGTCGCTAGTATATGAATAAAAATCTGAACAATTCGATAACCTATAACCGTTTTACTATCCTCTATTTAGAGATTAATCACAGCATCCAAGATTAATAATAACTAAACATCTTTTCAAAATAAGACAACAAAGAAAATCGTTTAACTATAAAGGGGGGTAATAAATTATTCTTTATATTAAAGATGAACAATCACTGAATTTTGTCTCGACACTACGTTAGGGGCCATTCAAAGACGTCTATTGTGCCTTTGATTCATGATGTTATACATCTAGCATGATAGCTTCCCTTTTAAATTATAATAGGTAGTGACCGTTTGGACTGGAAGGGTAAACAATAATAATTGTTAAATGTTCATATAATATAATAAAAATACATATAATAAAATTTAATTGAGTCGAATCTGTACATTAACTATGTTTTGGAAAATCTTATTGAAAAAGTCATTATTATCGATACAGAGGCTGCATCTATAGTTTTTAGAATTTTTGTTTGTCTGTCTGGGAACGCATCACGAGGAAACTACTAGATAAATTTTGATGAAATTTGGTATGACGATAGCTGGTTAATCAGGTCAAAATATAGGATGCTTTTTACTGCAATCTATACTATACTGAAATCTATACTAAATGACAAAAAGTAAGTAGGATCGAACACGAGCGGAGCAAGGGTAAGTCTCTAGTTTTATTGTAAAAAAACACACTTTTGACGAAAAACAATCACTAATATTATTAAACGAGAAAGTTTGTAAAGATGGATGGATGCTTATTACTATTCCATGCCCTACAACGTCACAAGCTCACAATCTCACAAACTCACAAACTACCTCTTTATTATATTAGTATAGATAACTACAAAGTTTCATAACGACGTGATAGAAGTAGTTTAATATCTTCTTCTAAGATTTCATAAGATAGATGGCTAATAAAAACCTGAATTTCTTAAATAAAGGCACAAGCTATAAAAATTATCTTTGAATTTAATTAATAATTTGTTTTAAATTACACAGTGACAGTTTTTGACATATTTATGTAGATGTGCGCAATTATACAGCCAAAAAACTTTTATCTAAAAATTTTATATTCAGCTTTGATGATCATTTGGCAATTATTGAAAAAAAAAACAGTATATAAATAATACCACCAGCTTCTTATAATTTAGATTGAATATTGACAATTCATTGATTGAAAAGGAACAAACAAGGAATCCAGTGTCATGTTAATAATCTACAGTGATACATAATATGTATGTACAAATGTCTAGACCAGCGAAGCATCAAAATTTAAAATATTTTATTCAGCATAAAATTATTAAAAATTTTTACTGAACGTCATGAGTCTGCTATCAATTCGGAAAGAAGAAGCCTCAGACGAGAAGAACTGGTGAAAGAAACTCAGCGGGACTAATATATATATATATATATATTTGTAAGTTAAATTATAAATTACAATAATTTACAAAATTAAAGTAGGAAGCGATCACAAATCATTCCCAAGGCGTGTCATCTATTCTAATATTATAAAGAGGAAAAATTTGATTTTTTATTTGTTCGTATCGAATAGGCTCAAAAACTACAGAAACCAATTTATATGAAATTTGGTAAAAAGATAGTTTGAGCCCCTGGGAAAGACATAGGATAGTTTATATCCCGGAAGTCATCCTTTAAGATGGTGAAAATGGAGGTGTAAGTTTGTTTGGGGAAGCAACCTAGGGACAAACCCGAGTGAAGTGAGGGTGAGCCGTGAGTCGCTAGTCTTACATAAAATCATTAAATATTACTATAATATTATAATAATTTCAAATAACCTTTAGCACAAATATAAACGTAATATGTATATATAAAAACAAAGCTGAAATAGCAAAAATTTACACAGGAGGTAATCCACCTGTCTATTCTAGAATTCTGCCAGACAGCTGTAATCGAGTACGTAGCTTCTGTGAATTCGTTAGGAAAAATACTTTAAGAATGGGATTGTACGCGACAGGTTTCTTTTGAATAATCTAGTTAGTTCGCAGACGATTGCTCAGCGCTGTGGGTCATTTGGATAGACTACGATAGAATGAGTATTGTTACCAGTTCGATTTCCGTTATATTATTTTTTTTAATAACAGGCTTGACAGGAACAAGTTTATCATTTATAATTTATTTGAGGTGACCTTAGAAAAATATGAAAATAGACCCACAATTTGCGAAGACATGCACAAAAAACACGAATAAATTAAGTATCTCACTTTCTTTGAAGTTCAATAATAGCACATAAATACTAGATTATGCTGTATAAGTAGTAGTACTAGATTATCTGTCCATAAAACGAAATTTTAACTTGGACTTGGAGTACAAAGTAATAAATAAATACGATTCTTTATTCCACATTTCAATTCATTCCACAAGTTCTAAAAATACAGTATAAATAGAAAACAAAATTTACGATATAAGCTGTGTCCATATCATTAAGGTGTGGATGGCTGGTGCCTTTGATAGTCAAAAATTTTTCAAGCAATTAGTATAATTTATATTTTACTAGTGATTTTTATACATCTCCTAAAATATTTCCTATAAATACAAATAAAGTCGCCGGAAACGACTATTCTATATAATTTTCCTTACTTTCAAATTGTAAAAACCTTTTCGTAGTCCCCAGATAATAAAACTCACAAACGAACGCTGTACATAAGTAAGTATTTACATTACAATATTGGCATAATTTTTCAAAATTCACTTGCCTTAAAGATTTTTTTCTTTGTAATATAAGGACGTTAAGATTTTTAGCCGACTTTAAAATGAAAGTATTCTATTTGGCCTACTTTTTATATGTACAAATATTAAAATTCTAACTGCGACTCAGTTAATATAGTCCAATCGGAATACGGTTTGGGAACAAAATATTGAAAACCTTTTAATATATTTTTTTTCGCTTAAAAATGAACGGATTTTGATTGGTCTAATAGTATAAGTCTGTACATTAAATATTTTTTGGAAAATTTCATTGAAATTATCACTATTATCGATACAGAGGCCTAATCTATAGTTTCTAGAATTTTTGTTTGTCTGTCTGTCTGTGACCGCATCACGAGAAAACCACTGGACAGATTTTGATGATATTTGGTATGTTAATAGCTGATTATCTGGATCCACATATAGGATACTTTTTACTGCGAGAAAATATTTCATCTTTGAGAAATCTACACTAAACGTTAAAACGTAACTAGTGTGAGTCGCTAGTATGTAATAATATTTAAATTTTACGTAATAATGATTACTCTGTATAATGTACATAGATGATTATTGATTTTAAAGTCGATTATAATTATAAAAAATATAATAAGTTGTGTGAATAAGTGTACTTATATTTTGGGTTAAGATTCTTGCATCAGCATCATCAGGGTAAGGTTCTGCGATGGGTCAACATAAATTATAAACAACAAAACCTCTTTCATTTCATTTCCATGGCGAAAGCTAATTAAAATGTTGGATTGAAATTTGAATCGATGAAAAAGTTTTCTGATTTGGTATCAATATCTTAATCAATCAATAAAATTAAAATATAATTTATTCAAATAAACTTTTACAAGTTGAATTAATTTTCTTGAAAAAAATTTTCATTTTCAAAATTTCTATCAAATGTCAGTATGTATGTCCGTGAGGAATCTACCACCAGCTCAGAAGGCAATATTTAATCATTTTTGTTTGAAATCCTTATAGATGTTACCAATTTGAAAGTGTATTTGATAAATAAATAGATAACATTTATTTAAAAATATAAAAGAGAAGTACTGAACCCTCCTGACTGATTTCGACCGTGACCAGTCCAGTGGGACGACAATAATTTTACACGCACCGATGTGCGATATCAGGCGCAAGACCTATGACTTTAGGTCTTCTCCGGGACATGGGCAGAAATACTGCCAACTTCCAAACTCTGGGTTGTTACTAAGAATTTCTGGACAGAAAAATCCAACTTGGGCAGATTTGTGTTTCGAACCTGGGACCTCCGGATCTACAATCGTAAACACTAGCAATGTGCAATATAAGCTTTCACCAGACAGTCACGACAATTTTAGTGACAACTGTATAGTAATTATTATAACAAAATATATTACATCCACTCGTTGCAAACAGCATACGAAAGCAGCGAACGTTTGATTATTCATATTCACGGGTGGACTGCGACAAAATCGATTAGATCGAGTCTGAAAAAATGCAATGAAATATTCTATAAAGTTTTAAATAAATAATTGCATGTAGGTTAGGTCGTATCGTGTTTATACTTAAAGATATCACTTTTGGATTTTTTATCTGATTGACTGATTGAAAATGCACATCTTAAGCCAAATAAAAATGTACACAAAAGTTTCTTATGTAGAAAAGTGCGGCGACTCACCCTTGCTCCGTTCGGGTTCGTCCCTAGTTACGTTTTACCGTTTTGTATAGATTTCTCTGAGATGAGATATTTTCCCGCAGTAAAAAGTGTCATATATGTTGACCCGAATAACCAGCTATCATCATACCAAATTTCATCGAAATCTGTCCAGTGGTTTTCTCGTGACGCGTTTAAAGACAGACAGACAGATAAAAATTCTAAAAACCAAAGATTCAGCCTCTGTATCCATTAATCCATCTATTTCAATAAGATTTTCCAAAAAAATATTTAATACAGATTCGACTCAGAATTTTATTATAATATGTATAGATTTTAAAAGATCAGAGAAAATTGTAATTCCGAAAAACGTAAGTAGTAGAAGTAATCTAATAAATATTCGCTAAGAATATTCCAATTTATATAACACAAGACAATTTCAATTTCCTTATGTCTATTGTCATTAACATTCGAAGTCCTTGCGTCATTCTTACAATACATTCTTCTTAAAATTTAAGCATTGTGAGTTTTTTTTCTTAAAATATAGGGGAAATAACAGTTAATAGAATCTCATCTTGATTAAAGTGGTCACGATTGTAATCCTACGGCTTTTACGGTTTTAAAGCTATCATTTTGCCTGAAAATTCGTTTCATTAAGTTGTTTTTAAATCTCAGCTATACATTGTCTCGCTTACTTAAATAAAAAGCTCTAGTGATAGAGATTAGCTGGGTTTTTCTTTATTTTCTTTATGTAAAATCCTTCCTGTAACTGGCTTAATAATATTTTTCACAAGGAAGCTGAGATATGAAAGGATATTTATGTTTGAAATGAGGAAAATAAGTAGCATTTAATGTCGCATTTTCTTTTATATATTCATTTATTTAATACTAGCGACTCACCGTCACTCCGTTTACGTATATACGTATAGATTTCTCAGAGATGAGAAATTTTTCCGCAGTAAAAACTATTCTATATGTTGACCCGGATAACCAGCTATCGTCATACCAAATTTCATCAAAACCTGTCCAGTGGCTTTCTCGTTATGTGTTCCCAGACAGGCAGTGAGTAAAAAATCTAAAAACTATAGATTATTAATGACTATCTTAATAAGATTTTCCAAAAAATATTTAATGTACAGATTGGACTCAGTTAGAATTTTGTTATATATATAGACTAGTAATTTAGCCTGGCACCTCTCGTACTCGTTTCTAGATACTTGCATTTAAATATTAAATAAGTGAGGTGTTAGCATAATCATCATATTTTCACATGTTTTAATTCAAAATATCTGTATTTATATAATGAATTAAAATAAATGAATTAAAGTTCGATAATAATTATTTACTAATTTGTTTTATATAAATACGATGGCATTGATCGCAATATTCTTTGTCTTGATAATTAAAAATGTATGTGACACAACTGTCATATTGATAGGGTGTGAGAATACGAGTAACGGTCCGTGCTAGGCTAACAGATGTAGCACCATTGTTTAGCAATTTTTATTATTAACAGTAGCCTTTGTATTACTCCAGATCTTGGCCTATTTGTGTACTTAATTCCATCCAAATCCGTGCAGCCGTTTTAGTGTGGTGAAGTAACAAACATATACAAACGAATATACCAGCAAGCATTAATGAGCAAGCAAGTGAGACTAGTGCTATCGCCTTGCTCGTTTTAGGTCTTTAAATTATTTTTTGGTAACGTTAATTCATTTAACTATCCCTGTATATATTTAATATTTTCTTTAAACATTTTTAATGTAAATTTACACTCCCATTACATATGTATAAAACTCACGATTTATAAAAAATATTTATTCACAGACATACAATACTCACTTGAAAACCGTAGTAAGCTACAAAATGTTTGTTCACTACCAATCCGGAAGTCTAGCATGTGACGCGTTTTAATTGCTTTTATAAAAAACTATACAGTATTAAAACAATCTACAATAACAATCTGGAAAAAATAAAAGGGGTAACACTATACAGTGTACACCTGTATTTACTCACCCGTGCGACTGACGAGGGTGAGCGCACCCAAAGCGCTGAATAGAAAAGTTATAGTCATGGCTAGATCACGCGCCTGTTCATAATCCCACTTTAACAGTCCACTACACCTTTATACTGCATCTGTAAACAAAAATATACTCTATTACTTAACTGTTAAGTTCTTTTTTAGATATAACGAAAATTGAGCTATTTTAGGCTTTTTAATGGGTGCAATGTTTTGTTGAAGTTTCTTAGTTGTTTTTTTGTACTTTTTCGTATGAAAATATGTGATATAAATAATTTCGCTGCATATTTATGTAGCGAACCTTCTCTCTTATGTACCAACCAATTTTCTTTTTTTTTGTTAACAGATGTTAACATTTTCTTTTTTTTTTGTTTAGTAGATATTGACAAGCTTTAATGTTATCAATAAAAAAAATATTGAAACAGTTTGTTTTTTTATACATAGTAATATTCTATTCATATATTATGTTTTCCTTTCAATAATAATTATGATCGAATTTCGAACACTGGGTGAATAATAAATACAAAAATAGTATATTGTTTAAGCTGTATAAGGCTACTTATTTAACATTAAAAAAATGATTTAAAATTAAGTTATCTCGACAATAGCGCTCAACTAGTTAAGAATCAACTATAAATCCATCAAAAATCATCAAAATCGGTCAAGCCGTTTAGGAGAAGAATTACGAACACACAAACCGGAATGTTACATATAAATATATACATATAATCAGACAGTAATTATGCATGTTTCATGTAAACACAAAATAACACACAAAAACTCAGCATTTCCGTACCTTACGGTAATTACATCGCTAATTACACGAAAATTTTAAATTTCACATACACTAAGCGTTTTTGTTTGAAAATGTGCAATTTCTTCTAAATATACTAAGAGTAACGTGTAATATACAATATTTTAGACTTTAATTAGTTGATATAATTATAAGATTTTATCGAATCGGCATTTAGTTTCCTTTCCATCATTTTTGGGTATAGAATTTATTGTTGTTTCATAACTTTTCTGTATACAATTTGGAAAACGTATATTCTTATTGTAAGGAAGTAAATGAGGGTTGATAAATTTCGCATATTTGCCCTAGAACTAAAATATAACAGCTCGTACTTTTAAAGAAAATCAAACGTATATATCGTAAAAATACTAAGACTTTTAATAAATAATATTTTATTATAAAAACAGTGTAGCTCGCATTTGATATCCCAACTCACACTCAACCCAACTCGATATATAACATCTCACTACAATTTTAAGATCGAAATAGATATACATAACTAATTTGACTACGCGAGCGATGTCGCAGTAAATGCTAGTAATAATTCTTATCAAATCAGTTTAATAACTCTCACAAATCTTGAGGAAAACGACTCGAAACTATTTAAATAGTAGGCAAAAACCCAATATTTTTTAATACCTTATATTTTCTCCAACATTTCTAATTCTAAAAATTCAGTAATTTAGCCGCTTTTTTCCGATGCCGTCAGAAATTCATATTATCACTCCGTCCGTCGTATACGTATGGCTCCGTACAATCCTCGACGCCGTGTCGTATTATAATGAAACATCCCATCGTGTAGATTAAAGTGGTTGAACATAAATGAATTTTTCCACTCCATATATACTCTTCTATACATATAATAAAATTGTAACCACGCCGAATCTGTACATTAAATATTTCTTGGAAAATCTTATTAAAATAAACATTATTATCGATACGTTTTTAGAATTTTTGTCTGTCTGTCTGTTACCGCATCACAGAAAAACCACTGGAGGGGTTTTGATGAAATTTGGTATGGTGGTAGCTGGTTATCAGGGTCAACATATAGGATACTTTTTACTACGAGAAAATATCTCATTTCTGAGAAAAAATGCAAAAACTGCAATATAAGATTATACTAATCTATAAAACCTAAGAATTTGGTGTTTGGTCATCTGAACGCGGGCGGAGCCGCGGGCAAAGCTAGTAACTTAATATAACCTTATGAAAGCCAGAATATGACTTTTACCACTTTCTGTTGATTTTTAGACAGCTTATTTATGAGGTAAAGTATAGTAAATTTTATTTTTCGCAGGGTTCAGTCAAAATTCATCACATTTTATGTCCTACTGCTGGGGACGAGCCTCCCTTCACTGCGAGGAAATCAGGCTATAATAGGCCACTTTAAATGAACAAGTTAGGTTCTCACAGACATGGCAGATTTTCTATCAATGTATTCCTTCATTATAAGGTGAATTGGTGAAAATAATTCACATAAGAAAATATCATAGGTGAGACCTAAGGATAGAACTCGCATCCCTTGGTTATCCAAGCAAGTAAGTCTGTTTTTTTATAGTGTTATATAGTAGTTAAATATTTTTATTCAAAAAAAATACAATAGCTAATCCCTGTAGATCGTAACAATAGACTAGAATTGCGTCGAATTGAAAAAGTGTATTAAATTTTTAACCGAACCTCGCTCTTTTCTTTATATTTTATTTTTACACGCTTCTCGAGTTAATTGAATGCTACCTTCTATTGAGGTCAAGCAGGTTTTCATATAATAAATACGTTTGTATATAATAGTGATTATGTATTGCAAGGTGTGTCCTAGGTTATTATAATAATTTCAATCAACCTTTTGCCAAATTTGATTACACATACTATACACACTATATACTAATAGGCACGCATGCAAGCAAGCACGCATGCAAGCAAGCACGCATGGACGCTTGCACGCACTTGCACACAAAGACACACACACACACACACATACACATACTACACGCATGGTAAATGAATTGCAGAGAGATAAGTAATTAACCAAAATAGGTTTCGCATAGTTTTTAAAATGTCACTTGAAGGGTTGAACGGTTTTAATGGTATTTTAGATTGTACCAAAATAGTTCAAATAAATTATAATTTAGATCAATTTCACCGGCCGATACTAGATATTGCTTGAGCTTTTCTGCCCTCCAGGCTCTCTATATTTTTAGTGGCTATAGACTAACAGAAATAAAAACCAAACTCATTTTACAGTATTTTAGTAATACTATTAGGTTAGACTATGATAGAATAGAACCCTTTAATTGATATTGATTTCTCTCTACATAAATAGTTCAACAGTCAAATAAGTACATTTCTGTTTTGTAATAATATAAGTATGTTTATGTATATATTGTATTTATTTTGTTTTACTTATGATTATTCTTATATATTTTCTTATCGTTTCTCTGCAATTTCTCTTTCTGTCCCGCTACTTGACACTATTTCCCACATGCATGGGTTGACTGGAAGAGATCTCTTATAGAGGTAAGTCCACCTTTGTCCACGTCATTTTCTGTGTATTTTTTTATTACTTGTTTAGTGCAATAAAGAATATATAATAATAACTTTAACTTACAAAGACAAAAGCTAACTTATGAAGTCATAAGTTCTTAATTACTCCTTCATAACAGGTGGAATTTTCTTGAAATTCTCTTACAATTAATTACAAGAAGTAGTACTTAATATACACCAGAATTTACCACCTTTTTGTAGTCAATATTAAATTACTGATTTCACACAAACCAATTCCAATCCAACTAAGAGGGTAAAATTATGTTAATAAATAAAATAAATAAATAAATATGTTGGGACATTAACACAAAGCGCCATCTAGTTCCATGGTAAGCTACGAGGCTTGTATTATGGATACCACATAGTTGATACACTATACATATATAGCTTTTAATACATACATATTATAAATATAAACACCCGTGGCTGGAGTAAAAGCATTCGTGCTCGTCACACAAATGAATGCCCCTAGCGGGACTCGAGCCCGCGACCGCTGTCATAGCAAGTAAAGTCACTACAAACTGAGCTAAACGTGTCGTGCTAATTATTTTATTTGTCTTATTGTTGTATATGTCGTTGTTTTAGAATAGCTACGTAAATTATGTTTCCGACTGCATAATACCATGTTCCTTCGTCAACTTTTTCTCTCTTTAGTACACCTATTACGCAGCCGATTTTTTTTTATTTTCGTCAAAATTTGAATTGATTTTGTAGTGATAGGAATAATATAAATTTGAAAATTTGTATGTTTGTCATTCATTCGCGCTGAAACGATTAAATGAATTTTGATGAAACTTAGTACAAATATAGGTTATGGTGTGGAGTAGTGCATAGGCACTTAGGGGACACATCCGAGCCAAGAGGAAGTCGCTTGAAAACAAAAATAATTACATCGATGTTACCAATTTTTATATCAATTTACGTCTTTACAAAATCACTAAGACTTCAACACATTACAACTGCTACGTTCTATTAACTTCGGAGGTTTTTAAGTTTGAACAAGTTCTTTTAAACAAACTTTCGTTCACCGCTTGTTTTTCGCTTGGACAGTAATCTACTGTGCAAGTTGCTATGGTTATAGAAAATCGGATATTCATTAAGGCCTTTATAAGAAATCTTAAGAAGGTTTAGAACGTCTTAGGTTTTTTATTGAAACGCAAGTGAAGATAAAGGCTTTAGATCACTGATTAGTACTTAGCGCGTCCCTAGTGACTTCTTATTCACTCAAAGTCCATAAGAATAATTTACTGTCTTTAGATAAAAAATAGCTATATTAATCTCCAGATTATGAACTTCACTACATAGTACATAGTATAAAATAAAGTCGTTTCCCGCTGTCTGTCTGTCCCTATGTATGCTTAAATCTTTAACTACGCACTGGATTTTGATGCGTTTTTTTAAATAGAACAATTCAAGAGGAAGGTTTATATGTAAAATACATGCTTAACATAGAGAAACACTGATAATTTTAGAGGTTTCTAATGTGATGTTGTAAATAAACACATTTTTTTGGCGCTTACAATGCAAGCGCTGGCTGAACTTTACGAGATAGATCAAAATAATGTAATATAGTATAATTGTACACCTTAAAAAGCTCTACAAAAAAGTCCGCGATGGCATATGTCTATCTCTTAAGGATACCTAGGCACAAACCCCAGCGAAGCGAGGGTGAGTCGCTAGTAATATATAAAATCGGTTAATGATCTTGAATATCTTTATA